CATCGATAGCAAAAATGTAGCACCATTGTGATCCTAATCAAAAGAAGTTTTCTTAACCATACTGTACAACACTGTGCTGCTAAGCTAGTAGGCTAAGATATTAGCTTGCTAACTGAAGACAAAAACGATTAGGAAATAGACCTATTTACTTTCACCATTTTAACTAAATATTGATATGCAAACTGTAATTTTAAAAGACATTAATGAATATATTTTCATGATTACGTGCAAATACGTACATGTAAAGTCATTTCAGAGTAGTTATAGACAGTAGCATAATCAATTAGAAAATATTGTTTGTTAGCCTGACTTAGCCTGAAAAAAAGTGTAATAAAAATGTAAACATTAAATTGATCAAAATAAAAAAAAAGATATTTAATGAAACTAAATATTTATATTTTAACTTTCTATTGATCAAATAAATGTATCACGGTTTCCTCAAAAATATATAGTTTTCGACATTGATAATAATAAGAAATGTTACTTGAGCACCAAATCTTCATAATATAATTATTTCTGAAGGATCATGTGACACTGAAGACTGGAGTAATGAAGCTGAAATTTCAGCTTTAACATCACAGGAATAAATTACATTTTATAGTATCTTAAGAAAGAAACAATCATCATAAATTCAGGGTTGTTTCCATCGAGGGGGCAAGGGAGGCAGAGGCTCCTCAAAAAACGGATGAGAAAATATTATATGCATAAAATGCATTGATTTAAGCAATTTTGAGTGTGGCATGGTTGTTGGTGCCAGACGGGCCGGTCTGAGCATTTCACAATCTGCTCAGTTATTGGGATTCAAGCTGATAAAAGAGCAACTTTGACTGAAATAACCACTCGTTACAACCGAGGTATGCAGCAAAGCATTTGTGAAGCCACAACATGAGGCGGATGGGCTACAACAGCAGAAGACCCCACCGGGTACCACTCATCCTCACTACAAATAGGAAAAAGAGGCTACAATTTGCAAGAGCTCACCAAAATTGGACAGTTGAAGACTGGAAAAATGTTTATTTTTGTACATGTACAAAATTTACATTTAGGGTCATGTCTAAACGTGTCACCCACATGAGCAGAACAGTGTCAGGAACACATGATTCAAACGCTACGTATCTGTCACTTACTTCTACACTATCTTCACTCTTCTTACCTTCATGAATGACATGGTTCTCGAATTTTCAATGCTTTACTTCTTGAGTGTAACCTTGTTTAACATAACAAGGCCAAGCCAACTTGCAGTCAGCACTTCTCAGGTAAACACTTTAATGGTTTTGTGGCCGCAGAGCCTTGAATTTGCAGCAAGCCAGAGATTTGCAGGTTTTCCCTGCTATGTTCAGTGAGACGTCTTGAGTTCCCTGCAGATGGCCCTTCTCTCGTAACGTTCTTTCTCCCAAGCGTTCGTATAGACAGCTCTTTAGAGGAGCAGCACCTGCATGACGCTTCGCTGTGCTCCGCTGCACTTTCAGCAGAAAGCTCAATCACTCAGCCAGCCTGTTAACATACACTCCCCATTGCCTCTCAAGTGTTGTTGCAGAAAACACATGGGTGTGCACTACAGATTTCACTCTCTGTCACCCTCTTTTTCAGAGCCGACAGCCATCTATAAGTGCTTTCTTCAATCTCGGAAAATGGCCAGAGACCAATGGAAAAATCAAGCATGCATTTTGTATTTTGATAACAGACGAAAATCAACAAAGAGCTTTTCACCTCCATCAAAATTCAGAAACGACTCTCCCTGTCCACTGTTAAAGCAACAGCTGTCAGGCCTCTGAATTATAATGTGGTGAAATAAAAGCCAACCAGACTTTTTGTCAGCAATTAAGATAGATAAACATATCTTAGCAGGCACGTCGGAGTGTTTGTGTGAAACACACTGGCTATAAAAAGAGCATCTGCTACAACTGCTTTTCTGACTTTCATTAGGAGGCTATCAAATAAAGTGTGACTGTTTGACTCGACGCGAGGCATATTGATCTAAACGTCCGGAAGACAACTGGGACACAGATCGGGAATCCGTCAGCACCATGGCAACACTGTGACATGCCATGGGACAATGTTAGTAAATCAGCGCTGTCTGCAGGCTGAAGTTTATTGAATTAGACTTCCTATCTTGTAAAATTTTATTTTAATCATTATTTACGGAGGAAACTTCACTGTGATTGCTTTTCATCACAAATATCTTTTGGCAAATGGCTTATTTACATCAACTTGAAAGCTATTGTTTAATCATTTTTGCCTCAGCTAAATTAAGGGAAGTTGTAATTCAGCAATTAGATACAGAGGCCTAGTCAGCTAATGAATAGCCTACAGTAGTGACCATATTCACAATACAGGACAGCATCCAATGCCATTTTACTTTAATAAATGGTTTCTACATATTAAAATTATCTAGAACACCCATTCATGCAAAATCTTACAGTCCCTGACAAAATTAACACAGTCTCCCGTGTAACTGACGTCTTGGGACGTCTTTTGACCATACGTCAAAATCCGCCTTTTTAGGGTACACTTAAACGTCGGTTACATGAGGATCCCGGGCCGTCATACAACTGACGCTTTACCTTTAACGTCGGTTAGGTTTAGGGGTATGTTTAGGTCTGGGGAAGGGTTAGGATCTGATAACATCATCTAACCAATGTTTAAGGGTACACTAAAAAGGCCGATGTTGACGTATGGTCAAGAGACGTCCCAAGACGTCAGTTATATGATGCCTTGGGATGAGACTGCGCTGACAAAATAGTGTTGCAATGCAATGTTGCAACAAAAAATTATCTGCAAAATAATAAGAGCTTTGATTTGGCGATCAGCTGTTTCACATAATAGTATATCATGTCTTGGTGTAATGGTCACCAGGTGGAGTGCCCTTGAGAGTCACCAGAGGGCACTCCACACCAGATGTTCATGTTTCACTCACAACTACATTTCCCAGAACTCACTGCCCGGACTCATCAGCACTCATCTCATTCACCTGGTTCTCATTGTCTTGTTCAGTTCACACTATAAATACCTTGTGTTCTCATTCACTCACGGCGAAGTCTTGTTGTACTGTATAGCTTGTTTTCACGTGACGTCACGCCACTGCACTGCCATGGCGCCAAACTCAGATGGAGGGCAGGAAGTGATTTTCTATATTTAGGAAGCACTATAACACTCAAAGTCAAGATGCCTATGTTTTGCGTCGTTTATCCCAGACAGCAAACTGACATTGAATCAACGTGGAAACGACGTCTCTCATGACATTGAAACAACGTTGATTTTGCTCATCGAATTAACGTTGAACCAACGTCAGACGCGGCATTCTTCAAAGCTAAATGAAAATCGAAAATTGGTTTGCTTACATAACGTTGAAAAAACGCGTTGATTTCAAGTTGATTTTCCGTTAGTTTTGAAAGAATGACGTTGGTTCAACGTTAATTCGATGAGCAAAACAATGTCAGATCAACGTTGTTTCGATGTCATATTTCCATGTTGATTCAATGTCAGTTTGCTATCTGGCATGGTTGCTCAAATCGATCAAACCACGAGGAGTTTTTATCGTGTGCCAAAAGTTGTTGTTCATAAGGGTGGAAAATACAAGAAATTGACAGAAAAACACCGGGAAAAATGCCTTGCAAACCTACGTCTGCGGTCGGGAGGAGCCGAATGGGAAAATGCCCGTGTGTGTGTGTGTGTGTGCAGTTATCACTTCGTCAAATGTTAATAGAATGTAGAGTTAATACATTATTTATGTGGCTTATAATTACATTATTCAGGTGTTTAAATACACTTATGTGGCTGTTTGTGTAACGTACCAGTTTCCGAACTTTGTAATAAAGTCAAAGTATGTCTGTAAGACGAGTTAGTTGCTGATATCTACAGCCTCGATGGCAGGCAAATCTCTCAATTCAGTTGAAAATCGGTCCTCTTCATAACGTAAGGATCACGTCCAACATATGTTTCGATTTTCTGTTTATATATGTCTCTTGTAATAGCGTCAAAGTAGTACAGTACGGATTTTCCTCCATCTAGTCCATTGCGCTCTTCACTCCTTGCACTCCATCTGCATTCCGCGCGTCAACACAATCACGTGACTGCAAACCACCGATTGTCTGCATTTCTGAGCGTTTTTCCATGTTTTGTTCCTGTTTTTGACTTTGGATTGTTCTTGGACTCTGATTATTGCTGCCTGCCCTGACCTCTGCCTGTTTCTTGGATTCCCACTGTGTGTTCTCCATTGTCCTGTCTGCTGATTCTCGACCCTGCCTGTACGACTATTCCTCAATAAAGCTGCATCCAAGTCTTGGAGCAGTTCATAACACTTGGGCTTCGTATTGACCAATCACAAGCCAGGACCAGAACTACGCATTTTATATTGTATTGACCAGTCAGCATCCAGGACCAGAAATATCCCTTTTATAATATTCTTTATGGACCAACAGCAATTATATTTTATTGTATTGATCAATCAGCATCCAAGACCAGAACTATGCGTTTTATGAGATGTTTTTTCTTTTTATAAAAGTAAACTGGATATTTTAAGGTGATAATTCGCTATAGTTATCATATTTTCCTGCACATTTGTATTATTAACATGAAATAACAGCATGAGTGAGGTGAAAAGAGAGAGAGGGAGATAGAGTTGTGTGTGTGAGAGAGAGTGTGTGTGCTTTCTGTGTGTTAGTCAGCCACTTAGCCTGTGGTAATTACTATCTCAGCATGTTAAATTATCACTATAGATGCACACAAGTGCTACTGCAGCCCACCGGACATGACAAAAATGGGCTTCTCTAACTACTTCCCCTGTTCTCAGTAGGAGTCGAATCAAGCAGGCGAAGATATTTACTGATGAATAGCCATAGGACCTCACAGCTGCTTCTCCGGGGTGAAGAAGATGCATCTGCGACTATTGGATTGTCACAGCGGAGAGTGTTTTCCAGAACGAGCTAAACTGAGCTTTAAGTGACATGGATTCGACCTGTTGTGCATGAGCTCTGATGGTAAGGAACAGGTTTACTTACGCAGGTTGTTTCCTGTTGCTCTGGCCTGCATGTTCTCGTAGTGTTGTCCATGCACTGCCAAACTCTCCTCCCTCTCCACGTGTTCTCCTGGAGCTGTCTGGCGCATCACCTGGGCCAGGGCTCTACGGAGAAAGGCTTTGTTTACTCATCTTACAAAAAAAAAAACACTGTAAATTGATGTAGAGCAATTCAATACATATTTGTAATGTTCTTGACAGACATTTCCAAATCAAAAATGTTGACAAAGAGGGATTACAAGGATCAGCTATGTTAGACCGAAATGACAGTGTGGTACATGAAACACACCATAAAAAGACTTTCAGCCGCTTTCTTTCCTTTTGAAAAAGGAAAACGTTTTTTTTTTGTTTTGTTTTTTTTTTATTGCCAATAATTAGTTTTAGTTTCATATCAGATTCCATGAATTTGCTATGAAACTGACAGGTTGTATTAGTGGGAGGAACATTCTCATTCTGGAAAGCATCTGATTGGATAAAAACTTAGATATGCCCCTTTGTGCAAGATGTGTCATGAATATTTTTAAAGGAATTCTGTCACTTATTACTCACCCTCATGTTGTCCAAAACCAAAAGACCATAAGACTTTCATTTAACTTTGGAGCACAAATAAAGATCTTTTTGATGAAATCTGAGAGCTTTCTGTCCTCTCCACACAAAATGTGCTGCGTAACACGAGAATGAACCTCATTGGTTCTTGCTGAAGCTCAAAAGTGATGCGTAACACGAGAATGAACCTCATTGGCTCTTACAGAAGCTCAAACGTGCTGCGTAACACGAGAATGAACCTCATTGGTTCTTGCTGAAGCTCAAACGTGCTGCGTAACATGAGAATGAACCTCATTGGTTCTTACAGAAGCTCAAATGTGCTGCGTAACACGAGAATGAACCTCATTGGTTCTTACAGAAGCTCAAACGTGCTGCGTAACACGAGAATGAACCTCATTGGTTCTTGCTGAAGTTCAAACTTGCTGCGTAACACGAGAATGAACCTCATTGGTTCTTACAGAAGCTCAAACGTGCTGCGTAACACGAGAATGAACCTCATTGGTTCTTGCTGAAGTTCAAACTTGCTGCGTAACACGAGAATGAACCTCATTGGTTCTTGCTGAAGTTCAAACGTGCTGCGTAACACGAGAATGAACCTCATTGGTTCTTGCTGAAGCTCAAACGTGCTGCGTAACACGAGAATGAACCTCATTGGTTCTTGCTGAAGTTCAAACTTGCTGCGTAACACGAGAATGAACCTCATTGGTTCTTGCTGAAGTTCAAACGTGCTGCGTAACACGAGAATGAACCTCATTGGTTCTTGCTGAAGTTCAAACTTGCTGCGTAACACTATCCGTTTAAGTCTGTCTTTCCAGAAAATAAATATTTAAATTGTTTATATCTGCTAAAAGACAGCTTTACCCAGCATTTAGTGTATGCTTGACCTAACATGACCTATAAGACATGATCTAAAAGCTACGAAATTCCAACCCGTCGTACGAATTCGACGAATGATTAAAAAGTGGCTAATTCGTAACAATTCATACGACCTCACTCGTACGAATTAATACGATTTTGCTAAATCGTACATATTTTACGAATTGGCCAATTCGTATGAATTCGTACGAATGACCTACCCCTGACCCCGCCCCTAAACCTAACCATCAAGACAAATTTAGACAAGACAGGTTTAGACAAATTAGACACTTTTTAATCATGCGTCGAATTCGTACGAATTGGTCGTGAGATAGTGTTGGAAATTCCCATTTGGGATTCCTGGTGTCTTTAAACAAACTCATGCACATAAAACTGATAGATTAATTCACATGATGCTTTGAAATGGTAAAAAATAAAAAAAGTTTGAATAATAATATTTGCGGAGATACATTCAACCATCATGAAAATCATTAAAATGGTGCAAGTCAGCACAGTGACATATTCAAAAGGCACTTATTAAAATGGTGTAGATGACTAGTTGTGGGAGGTGGTGGATAGGATACCATGGCCCATGTGAGTATTTATTGTGTTCGTGCCTAAATAGAGTGAAAGATAGAATGAAAGGTCACTGCACAAATAGAATGTCCTTGAAATATTAGCATCATTAGACACAGATCAGTGTCCATTATCCTACTAATGTCACGGACACCTCTCTACTGATGTTTAGATGAGTAAGCGTATGTGTGTGTGTGTTTGTTTGTTTGGAGTACACGCTTTTTCTGACAAAATCGGTGCCTCACCATGGAGATAATTAGAGACTTACAGAGATGTTGATGAATGTTTGCTGATCAACAAATGAATTAGACCTGAATGCTAGTCAGTATATTTTGTAGTACATCTCCTTTCAGCTCTCTCTGATTATCAACATTTTATACTGTGTCTTTAGGAGAAAGCATGTCTGGTCTTTAGTTTTTTTTTAATAATAAATAAATAAATATATTCTTGATTTAAAAGAAATTTACTTTGTACATTTCCACCACTTAAATATGCCTATTAAACATTAAACCTCAAACAAATGCATGTCTGTGAAACTGCCCTTCTCTACATTTCAGTGTTGCAGACCGTGTGAAGGATAAATAGATAGTCAGGACAATAAAGCCAGTAGAAGTTGAAGAAAAACTAGCACAAGGTCATGGTGAGAGATCGAGTTGTGTCAGTGGAAATCTTGAAAGCCTTGAGCTCTGCCGAATGACATCCCAGACGGAAACCGTCATCTTAGATTTTATTTTTTATATCAACTTATAGACTAAATAATAAATCTCAGGACAAATTAAAAAAAAAACATACACAAATTAGGTAATTGTTGATTTACAGTCTGATTGTTGAGCTAATTAAGTATAATTCAAATAGCAAAGCTCTGATAATTTAGGAAGAGTGTGATAAATATTTGAGTTCTTAATGAAACACTAAGAGAAAAGGTACGAAAAGCTGTCACTGTGTGCTTCCTTAGACCCTTTGACCCTTCTTTAAAACAAATGTAGGACATCTGATTGCAGATTTTGGAATAGTTTGTGATTGTGTCAGATCTCTTCTTAAACTCTTAAGCACACTGTAAAAAATATATTGTTGGTTCAACTTAAAAAAGTAACCTGGTTGCCTTAAAATTTTAAGTTCATTGAAATTGAAAAATTGAGTTAGTACAATGAAAGAGACTGATTTAATCATCAGAAACTCAAAATATTGTGTTATCTGAACTACATAAATTATCTAAGTTGATTTGACAAAAGAAAAAATGTTGTGATTACAAATCATGAAAATATTTTTTTACGGTGTAAAAACAACACTATAAAAAAATTGTTGGTTTAACTTAAAAAAATAAGTAACCTGGTTGCCTTAAAATTTTAAGTTCATTGAAATGTTAAAACTCAAAATATTCACAGAAACTCAAAATATTATGTTATCTGAACTACATAAATTATCTAAGTTGATTTGACAAAAGAAAAAATGTTGTGAAAATATATTTTTTTACAGTGAAGTAAGCGACTTATGTAAACAACTCTCAATTTTCTCTCTGTTTAATAGCAATGTTGTCTACAAGAAACAGTTGAGATAATAAGATCTCATTTGTAATGTTCTTTCACATGGAATAAACTCTTCCACTCCACAACAAAACAAGCAATTTACAACTTCTTAAGGAAAAGACACGAGTGCATACAGAATGTAAAGTTGTAAAATGTAGATATGCATATTACCCTGGTAATTTGGTTAAATCCCATTTGATTTCATTTCTTTCCTAATGGGTAAACTATACAGATTACAATTTACAACAGTTTATAAAAAATACAAAGGATAACTAAAAATGATTACTGATGCAGTCAGAGTGTATTCATATGTAAAAGACAGCAGCTCATGCCTAATTTGCTTTTGGGAGAATTTTAAATGTTTGAAATCCCATTTGATTTTGTCCGTCGCTAAACTGCGCAGCTCCACCACAACCACGCAGACAACAGCGTTTGAACTTGAACTTCTGCTATTCAACCTCTCTTACCTGGACATGTTCTCTCTGTGAGGTCGATGCGCCTTCTCCAAGCCAAGTTTGGTGAATATCCCAACCAGCGCCATGATTGCAACTACTCCGCATATGATATACACAATCAAATTCGTTTTATCCTTAGTGGGATCGTGTTGGTCCATCATCTTCGGCGGTGGTCTGCCCGTCATGGACCACGGCGGGGTGTCGTAGTTTTTGCATGTGGTCTGATCTAACCTGGAGTTTTTAAACTCGCAGCAGAACCTGAAGCCACAGGTCCCGCAGCAGTACAGGTAACTACCCGTCCGACACACGAACGGAGGATCCCACTGACCCATCACATCATAATAACCCCGACACCTGTCCTCCGTATGAGGGGTCTCGGAGAGACCTTGTTCCCCGTCTCTAGAGTCGTTAGACCCTGACGCTGTCACCAGACCATCCAGGTTCTTCCCAGGTTCTCCTTCCGCGTCGCACACAAGAACTTTCATCAAAAAGTAACCCAGTAGTAAGCCAGTGCTTTTCATCCTGCGCTCTTCTCTCCTCTCCTCTTCTTTGCCACGGCTGAACGGACGCTGAAAGACAGAGTTGGGTGTCTTTTGTCATGAAGTGTCAGGACGCATATCTCCATCAAAAACATCACCGCCATCCGAGATGATCATGTTTGATGATATACTTCAGCCCCACGTTTAGTCTATAAAGGTTTTGAAGTATGCAAATGTTTGAATATGGAGATTTCTATCGTATCAAGTGTGGCATTGCAATAAACACTAGCTATACTGTGTTTTGTCTACTATTATATCTTATCCTAAACAACGGCGTTTTTGAGCACTCGGGAGCGTGGAGCGCCTGGATCGCAATGAGCTGCGGTTGAGCGGAGCGCTGAGTGATACTGAATGCGTAATGATGAGAGAGGAGGAGGGGACCCAAGTATGGGCACATGGAAGGAAGCAGCAAAAGAATTAAGAGGAGAGAGAGCAGAATGTGTCAATCAATATTTAGTCCTGTGCATGTGATTCTCACATAGGCTAAAGTAGCCTGCATGTTGCGCGTAAATGAAGGCGCAACTCATACGCTGCAATGTGCGAATTATGTCGTGAATGACTCAAGATGATCGACTAGCCTATTTACAGCAAATATTTTAGTTTTTTTTTATAGGCCACCTCTTGTAAAATGTAACCATGCGCCATCAAAACTTCAAATGCCAGGCATAATTTTGTTCCTAATGGCCATTGGAGTAAATCGTTGGACCTCTCAGCTGGTTTGCACAATATTACCCCCATGTTAGCCTACAATAGGCTACATGTTTAAAACCTTAAAACCCCGCCCCTCCATTTGTTTTGTTTTGGTTTCTTGAGGGAGTTCCAGACAATGCGGGTTGATTTTATGCGCAGCCATTTTTAAATCGGATTTACGTTTAATGAGCGTTCACATTGCGATTCAACAATGTGACAAGATATTATTTAATTTAAAGGAGAGTTGGTGATTTCCAGTGACCGAGCAAAAGAAACCACAGCGATGAAAGTCGAGCAGCGGCTACCAATAGGAGTCCAGAGATTTTGGAAGTTAGTATAAACAAAGTGGGCTATCTGAGTTTGAAGTTTTAATGGTGCATGGTTGCATTTTAGCAGCAACCTGCAGTAAAAATGAAAAAAAAAAAATAATAATAATAATACTTGGGAAAATTAAACATTTAGGATTTAAACTGGATCAACACATATTAAATATCGACATGTGATTCATTATATCAGCACAGCTTTAGGTTGTGGTTGTTCATACAGTTGTCAAAGTTGGCAATTTTGTCATAGTGTTTACAATTATTTAGAGATTTTTAAAAATTACAGTAAATGCAAATTCTATCTAACCTAAATTTTCTTATTTCAGCTTCATTTTCATCCCAAAACAGTGGATTACTTTTCTGCACCCTGTAATGCAGTGCATAGTGACATTATGAATTTGTTCATTTGTCATATAACGTAGAATCATTTTTCGTGGATCATTCTGGGAATTCTTGTGTTATATTGTTACAGAATTATATGATCACTGAGACACAATCGGTCCTTATGGGCATTTGGCACAGCAAACAAGACCACAGCTCTGAATAATCTCATTACATACTGATGTTGATGAATAAGCAATGTGCATTGTCTTTGGGAGGACAAATAGACCTGCCTAAGGTGGCAGAAACTGTAATTTATGAAAGGAAAAGAAAGAAAGAAGCACTAATGAAATTACATAAGGCTCATGGCTCCTTTTCGAATATTCATGTTCTGAGCAGATACTTAAAATCTCATGAAAACAGCAGAACTGTTGCAGAAATGAGGGTTATCAGAATGCATGAGTCAATGAGGCCATCAGTAAATTTGAGAGACACTAAGGGATCACTTGGTCTTGTTATTGCCATGGTAACCAGGTACATAATGGCCTAATTTAATTTTCCAGGTCCTATTGACTTAGAAGAGTGATTTTCAAAACATACAGAAAGCCAGGGAGAAGTGCCGTCTTTTTTTTTTTTTCAATCTTTTGTAAAAAAGGACAGCTGAATCTGAATGACGGTTTGCGCAAGAGATGCACCCCATTGTCTAAAGGTCAATACATAGTAAATTATCCCATTCATTCGATCGTGCATCCCAGCAGGTTATTTCTTTCTGGAGAGCAAAGAATATGTCTTTCAGAAACTAAAATACAGTTTTTGTCAGCTATATGCATAAATAATAGCCTATATCTATCTATCTTCATGCATCCATCCATTCACACGTCTGTGTGTGTGTATTTGATGACAGTGTGGCCCAGAAATCTTTGAACACTTTTGAAAATCTAGAATTTGGAATGCAATTCTGGAAACCACATTTTAAAATGACCATCATGATGTAAAAAGTACAGTCACTTTGGATAAAAGCATTCAATCTGCGTATATTTACATGTAAATTAATAACAATGATTTAATATTCTGCACAATTTCTAGTTTGAGTAATCAATTAAGAACTAATGCTACAACAAATAAGTGACTTTTCTAAAGACAGTCCAGTGTTCTTCTTCCATTGAAGCTTAAGATACTGTTCGGATCCCAAGACGCAATATAACTTGGGACGTCTTTTGACCATGTACGTCAACATCCGCCGTTAATGTCGGTTAGATGACGTTATCGGATCCTAACGGTTAAATGACGTCTTGAGATGAGACTGTGTTAGTTCAGATCATTTTCAAATCATGCTAGAAAATCAAAGATCATCAGGTTTTATGTTCTGCTACCACTATAGGGACACAAGAGGGACAAACCAAATAGAGACATTCATGCTAATCTTTCAGTACAACTTTTCAGTCAAATTGATATATAACGTAAATACAATCTGTAATGACAAATGTTGTATTGCATTCATTGTAAAGAGAAGTCTTCGGTTTCAGGGTGTTTACACAACAACGATCCTACTAAAAACGAAAAAGTGTTTCCTTTGCGTTTTTCGTAAAAAAAAAAAATATTGTTGGTTTAACTTACAATGAAGGAGATTGATTTAATCATCAGAAACTCAAATTAATAAGTTATCTGAACTAAATAAATTATTTAAGTTGATTTGACGAAAGAAAAAATTTTGTTATAACAAATCTTGAAAATATTTCTTTCTTTTTTTACAGTGAGACAAATAGTTAAAATGATCTGCAAAAAAAAAAAAAAAATGCGAAAAACACGGTATTATGCATGCCAGGCCAGTAGTTGGCGACGAATGCAGTCTTTACTCTTTATAGTTAACTTTGTAAAGAAGCACTACTATAGACTGAACTTGTAATTCGCATGCACATGTCACAGTTTTCACATATTTGCATTTTTGTAACGGTGTCGTTTTCAAAAACTTTGAAACCAGTTCTCAAAAGTTTGTGTTTTCATGTCCCCCAAAACGCTGTTGTTCCAATGCGCTGTTGTTAGTTAGTTCCAATGATCTTCACTTTATAATACGGATCCAAATAATTAGTAAGTAATAGCTCACAGATGAAAGTGTTACTAGATACTTCTGTGGGAATTACTAATTATTTGGATCCGTATTATAAAGTGAAGATCATTGGAACTAACTAGTAATTACTCAAGTGTTACTACATGATCTAGTCATGATTTGTGCAAACGTTTGAGATTTTTGGTGAACTTTAGTCACTTTTAGAAAATGTCTTTAGTAACACTTGAGTCATTACTAGTTAGTTCCAATGATCTTCACTTTATAATACGAATCCAAATAATTAGTAACTCCCACAGAAGTATCTAGTAACACTTTCATCTGTGAGCTATTACTTTGTTAAAAGTATTTGTTAATAAGAGTTTCTTTTAGTTAATAGTAGTTACTACACTCTAAAAAATGCTGGGTTGTTTTAACCCAATTTTGGGTCAAATATGGACAAACCCGAAATGTTGGGTTAAAAATGTAATGTAAAAATTTAACCCAACGGCTGGGTTAGTATATATTTGACCCAAAGTTGGGTTAAAACAACCCAGCATTTTTTAGAGTGTAGATTGTTAATAAACTTTTTCAGTAGTTCTCTGGGAAGTATTAAAAAATAGTAGTTATTGATTACTTAATAGTGAACTACCACTTTCGTCTGTGCGCTATTACTTACTAGTTCGTTAATCAGAGTTTCTTGTTAGTTAATAATAGTTACTAGATTGTTAATATTGTGTTACTCATTAGTTCTTGTGTAGTTATTCATTAACGAAGGAACCGTATTCTAAAGTGTTACCGTGTTTTTTACTGTGCCATTTGCATCCTCCGTTATTGATTTGTTTTTGTTTTTTTAGTCCTTTGTTATCACCATCACAATGAAGAGCCTTGATCATGCGTAAACTTGCGCAAAGTTTGTCATAGATCATTTATTTTTGGAGCTGGTGTTAATCTGGAATTTTTTTTAAAGCACCATCTGCCACCTGAGATATCTTGCTCATTTGCTTTTGATGTTAGTCCGAGCCACAGAAAGCTTCTTTCTTTGCAATTGGCTGTCATGGGAATCATGGTTCTTTTCTCTTTGTATCTATAAAGACGGCTGTAAATAGTTCAGTCATTCCTCTGGGATTTTATCAAAGTTTGTTTAGAGAGACAAAACTCTGCTCGGGTGTCTCGGAGAGAACAGCTGGCAACTTCTGATCAGACCATTGCATTGAAAAAAGCCCATACTGTGTCACTTTGACTTAGGAAGAATAGCAATTGGCGAGCAATGAGCCATCACGCTCAATTTAACATGTCAATACTTTACTTCTTGGCCAGACTGTTTTAGATGCCGCTGTATATCTTGAATGAATAGCCACCGTATGATTTATGGATTCTGGCTGCAGTAGAATAGAGCTGTGCGGCCCCGAGAAAAGGTCACCTGACTGATAGAACCAAATATTTAACAAGTTTTGAATCATTGTTTTCAGACAGTGTGTTCACTGACGTCACTATATCAGTCATTATACATCAATTTAAACCTCTTATGCCTTCTGCCCAGGTCAAATCATAAAGTGTATTTATACAAGTGTAGAACAGGGGAATTGAGCTATTATTCTATACACTCACCTAAAGGATTATTAGGAAAACCTGTTCAATTTCTCATTAATGCAATTATCTAATCAACCAATCACATGGCAGTTGCTTCAATGCATTTAGGGGCATGGCATGGTTGTTGGTGCCACAACTATACAAAGAATGGTGTGAAAAGGGAAAAACATCCAGTATGCGGCAGTCCTGTGGGCAAGATGTTATCCTATCAATATGGGCCAACATTTATAAAGAACACTCTTAGAAAAAAGGGTTCATTGGGGTTCTATATTTGAAACATAGTGTTCTTTACTCAACTCCAAAGAAACTTTTATGCTAAAAAAAGGTTCTATAGTGACAAGAAAGAACACAAAGGTTCTTTATAG